ATTTCATGCATGCTCATTGTTACTTTGTACCCTAGAAACCCAAATAATAAAGACATTACAGGTTTTTTTTCTTCCATATTTATGCCTCTTTACCCTGATCAGTGACTTGTATTATAATACTGAACCAAATGTCCCTACCTTCTCTCGTTATTAATTACAACATCAAAACCGAGTTTATGGGAAATGCCATGTTGTATTTTTATGACCCAAGTCTGCACACAGGCAAGTGGGGCTTTTATGTTGTTACATGGCCTTTCAAGCATGAAAAAACTATATGAAGACTGGAGGTGCAAATAAAGGAAGAAGTCTTAGTTTTTTTTAATAATCGTTGAATTCAAATTAATGAATTAGGATGCTGCACAAAACCATCAGGCTAATGGGCCATTGGCAAAAGACATGAGTTTGAAGAGTTTTTTGTTTGTTTTAGATTTGTATCAACCAACAACTAGCTTGGGTGCAGTGATTTGACAACAAAACTATGAATTTATTAACAAAAATGGGCAACCATGTATAGAGTGTGCTCATGTGCATTATATACATTTTATCGAGACCTTCACCCAGTATGTTTTCAGTTTGATCCTTTGCTCCCTGGTTGTACAAAAAGAACATATTGGACTTTTAAAAAATAATAATGTCTCACATGAGTTACTCTTGGATCACTTTATTCTTGGAAAAACATGGTCTCTTTGTGTCAAACCATTACAATGTAGTCACTCTGATTCTGACTCATACAATAACCACTCCTGCTGCCATCAGTGTAGATTAGCTAAAGCACTCACAAGATAATAAATCACACAGGGATGTGACCATAACAGAAACGTCACAGTGGCGAGCCACTGGCAGACAGACAGTAATACTGGGTTGCTTTTTTTCTTCTTTCTGGCGGCACAGGGAAGGAGGGAGCATCAATTAGCTTCCAACATCTCTGACCTTGAAATGGAGCACAGGCAGAAAACAGGAAGTGTCTGTATATCAGCCCAGGGTTTCGGTTTGTGTCATGCATCATTTATTGATCCTCATTTATTTACAAGACAAAAAAATTCATCTACACATTTCAGTGATCTTGTATGTTACTTACAGTTTTGCAGTGACCTTTCAGTACTTAAAAATAGATTTATCTTTTTTGTGTGCACCCACACATACACACTTACACATGTACAAATACTATCATAAATATGGTTTAACTGGCATCTTTTAGAAAGCAGTACATTTTTAACCACAGTGAAGAGCAGGGTTTATGTATTTTAGCAAAGTAACAAAGTTTTAAAATGTTGCTTCAAAAAATCACAACTTGTTTGAAATATCGTGTTTGAAATTAACTAAGTATTTCATGTTGTGTGGTCAGCACTAGACTTCATGTTCTTAGTAAAACAACTGCACACAACAGGACAGCTTGGTAATAAATGAGAATACTGATAAAGAGGTAAATATTCCTGAGTTAGCCAAAAATGCATGTTTTATTGGGAGCCCCTTTGCTTGATGTACATAGGCAATTACTTAATGAAATTACCATTCGCATCAAAGCATCATAAAAAGAATTTAAAAACATTGCACTATGAACAGGCTTCATACAATAACTATACCCAATAAACCACAAAATATATAATTTAATTTGTTTTTTTAATATTCTAAATGTTGATCATGCTTATTCAGAAAGTCATTTTCTCTGTATTTGAATGAGTGTTCAGATGAAGACTGCCAGACAAACTGTGGTAAAGAATTACACTGATGTGAAGCTCTGAATGAAATAGAAACTGTCCAAATGTTTTTCTGAATGGGTTTTGTCATCCTCTCTGGCAGCTATTTACATAGCTGTTAGTTGTCATTTTAATAGGATATGTTCAAACATGATTTTTCTGTCTGATGTTAATTTATAATAATTGAATGTGCATTGTTATCACAGCAGAGTGCAGTTTCATTGTTTCTGTGTTCATTTCTAAAGAAATAAATAATGTTCATGTTTCATGCGTTTGAGGGGCAAAGCTAACACATCTTAATATAGGTAGAACTACAGTACAGTATAAGAAAAGTTATGAATATGGAATCAATGCTTGCAGATGGTGAAAACTCACTGACTGCAAAAGATCAAATTAGAAAGTTTGGAACAGCTTGGATACAAAATCTTTAAAGCACTGAACCACATGACCTTAGACATGGTGCTTTGCCTGAACAGCTTTGCATGTTTACCCACAAGGTTAAATGAAGATCTAATAAATATTTTTTTAAGAATACACACATATAGGTTTGTATTTTTATCCAGATTATAAAATTATGTTGACTTCTATCCATTTGTGTAGTCAACCCAAATCCTAAAGTCAATATCTCACTGGGTTACAACTATTGATGACTATTTGAAGAACAGGATTCACGAGGGGGTCTTCAAAATACCTCAGAACATTTGTTGGGTTTTTCAGTCACAGTACCTGCACGAGTCACAGAGGCTTGCAGCTTTGACACTTGAATTTGGAAAATGTTCAAAAATTTTGTGACTAATCTAAAAAAATCACAAGGTTGTCAAGTCAAGTCAACTTTATTTATAGAGCACATTTAAAACATATGTGTCATAGGTGTCTTAAAGCCATCCCAATTTAGCTTATGTTAATTATAGAGCTGACAATAGACACCTGTACAGAAGCTCCACTTTGATAAAAAAAAAAAAAAACATCCAAGACTGCAGCCCAGAATGTCCAGGTCTCAAAACCATAACAAATTATCATTACAAAACTGGTCCAGCAGCAAAACAATGCGTGTGACGTAAAATAAAATTTTGCTGGCTGTGTACATAAAAATAGGCCATGATTTACAATAAGAACCAGCTACTAAAAACACAGCCAAACTCTCATTAGGCTTGTTGTTGCAGAACAATCAGAATTAAGTCAGACTGCCATGGAAAATTTGCCTATTTTCTCATAATTTTAAGTTGTTAACTAGTCTCTAACACTCACAGCCCAGTTAGATACCATGCTAATCCTAAGGTACTCTTCACCGTGATTGACAATTATGTTCTCCAAAAACTATTAGAACATGACTGGACTGCAACAAGTGTGAAAAACCTTGAGTAAATTGAAGGCAACCATGATGCAGCAACACCCTTAATATTCACCAAACATATTTTCCGTGCTATTTTCTGTGCCACCAAGACATCCTCCTGTACCCCCACTACCTTCTACATGCCTGCCACCACATCAAGGTGCAGTTTCATGTCAGCTCAAGGCTGATTTCATGATCTTGCTACAATCATGAGGCCATTGTGGCCAGTATTTTCATAAATTCTTAAGGACTGTGCATGGGCCCTGTATCATGGCTACACTACCACCAGACACCCCCATGCTCCACCCATGACCCTGATAAACTGCCACCACAATGCCAAACCACCACAACTGTGACTTAGACATTTTGCACATGCTCATAACTGTCAAGTATAATTGGGAGCCCACCATCTGCTTAATACACACCTGAAGACATTAAGAAGGCCCTGCAAAAACCAAAAACCATCCATGCTTCTACTGGTGTTTTTCAATTGTAGTTTGGTCATCATATAGTGTAACTGGGGCCTCATAATACCCATTGTTGTGGTTTTTCACTCAGCTTGTAACTTTTGCAGGAGTCATGACAGCAAGCAAACTTGCACGAAAGCTTTGGCAGTTACTTTGCTCTGGATGCCCTTCTTGGTGCAACCCAGGCTCAAACTTGAAGCCTCAGGAGGATTTCAAGAATGTGGCACTGACCTCTGTGCTGCCACAGCCCAACCATTACTAGTTCATATCTAATCATAATTCATAATTCTAAATTAAATCTAATGAACATGGAGTCTTAAGTCTAACCATTAACTTAAAAATGGCATCTTACCACATTATGAGCAGGCTTCAGTTCTTAGGACTACCAGTCCTTATAAACTAGATTATTAGACCAGAAATTATCCTAAAATGTATCAAACAAATGTCTACATACGCACGTAAGCATACACATTTGTGCGTACACACACACACACAAAAAGAAGAAAATAAGAACTTAAAAAAAGGCATCTCTGGCGTGGAAAAAGTACGTTTGAAAATTTGTATTTGATACCAAAAGTGCATCACACACTTTCCCTAATGAGAGATCCTTGTGTTGTTTCGTAAAGTCACCACTAAGTACTTCATATAAATGTGTTTAAAAACATTTATTAGTTATTGGAAATTGCAAATAAAAGGAACAAAACAGAAAAGTGTTCTCACAGGCTTATGTTCCTGCCTCAAATTTATTAAACTGACTAAAAAAAGTTCAATGAAATATTTAAATCTATTTGTCTTAGACTGCCACATGGAAATGTGGCATGGCCTTGTTTCTTTTCTTTTTATGAATGATGATTTAGTCTTGTTTTTCTTTTCTGTTAAAGGTGAAAATTAAGAAAACTCTGAAGCTCCTTTCCTATGAATTTTCAGAGAATTCGACCAGCTCTCATCAAGGCTGTCACATTGAATACATCTGAGTCATTCCATTGTGACTTCCTCCCTACTGATGCAGAAAATCTATACTTTTATGGCATTTGTTTACTTAAACCTCTGAACAAACAACTGCAATTGAAGGGATGATTTGTACATAAACTGTAGGAGTAAACATTAGAAGTTGCACATTGGCTGTTTGCTCCACGCCTACCTATGAAGCAACAGTAAAAAGACTAAGTCTAGGGCCCGCACAATACACAGTGCAAGTCCTGACCTGTCTGTGTTCAAGATAATTTCCTTTTAACAGCTGAGAGAAAACAGCAACACATCAAAGAGCTGTCTCTGAACACTTCCTCAGCACTAAAGCCACCAACCGGCTTTAAAATCTCATCTTGGTTTACAAATGGCTAAATCTGTCCATCTGAAGGACAAAAATATATTCAAACTTCTTCAATCAGGAATAAACGTGATTTTTGAGATTAGCTTGTATCCTCATTGTTACATTTTTGTCATTCAATGCTAAAGACCATTTTGGTATTAAAAATATCTCTTGGAAGACTGTTAGATACTTACAGATGGTCTGGATGATCTTGTTTGTCTCCTGTGTTGTTTGTGGGTGGGGACTCTGCTTCGTAACTGTAGATCGTTCAGCATTGTATTTGAGCGTGACTGAAGGATATGTTGGAGTCTGAGGCACAAATGGCCTAGCTGTAGATTTCTCGTTCACGAACACCTCAGGATGTCCTGGGCTAATGGCGATGGTTGTGGTGAGGGAGACAGTGGCTGGAGCTGAGTGAGGAATTGAGACAGTGATTCCAAGTGTGGGGTTAACCGATATAATAATAGGATCCTGTCCGATAGGTTTGGGATCTAAGTGGGTGGGGGGTTCGTACTCAAAGATCTTATCCACAAAGACCCATTTGAGTCCAGCTGTGCAGAGGGCTAAACTGAGCAGACAGGCCAGGATGGGCAGAATGCAGATTTTTTCAGAGTGCAGGCAATGGTTAATCTGTTCCATCTCTATGCACACGCAGCAGGTCGCTGGCAAGGCCACGATTCCCAAAGCTCTTTCATGCTCCCCATCACCACCACCACCACTGGCTTCCTCTGTAATTCCCTTTACACTCTCATCCCTGCTCTCACCAGCTGCCTCTGTCTCCTCTGGTTTCTCCTCTGGGACTGGTCCAGAATCGAGAGGAGAGCCAGTGGGGGAGGCTTTTCCAGGAGAGGGAGCTGGCCCTGCAGAGAAGTCCTCCACTCCCTCAGTCATCCTTTTGAACTGCTGGAAAAGTGTTTCAGAAGGCTTCAACTAATAAAACAGAGCATCACACAGCTGCTGTCTGCTACCGGTGTCCATGTTCTCCACCACGAGGCTGCAGAGTACGAGCAACGGTTTCAGAAGACAGGAAAAGAAAAATTTGTCCTTCAGAGAGGGAGAGCTTGACAGCAGTTCAGGGGGTATGCAGAAAGCTTGTATCCAAGCAGTTCTTTACACATGCTTCCTGAAAAAGAACAATCAGAAGATTCTACAGTTTTCATAATATCTTTAGGCAGAAAATAATTCAGATCCAAGAAAATGTTCACTGTTTTCTGTGTTATAGTCGAGAGCAATGGAAAGTAGCACTGACTCACCTGAACACTTTGGCAGGAGGAAGAGAAGGGGTGGTGTTCAGCGTGATGGGCCAGCTGCAGCAACTGTCTAGTCAAGGGCAGGATGGACGAGCACTGCAGTGCCAGGAGGGACATGCTATCTTGACTTAAAGTGCTCCAAGCAGCTGAAAGGCTGAATCATCAGGGAGCGGCAGGTGTCCTTCCTTTCAGTGCAGTCACAGAAACAGATGAGTAAGGCAAAAAGAAAAG